CTGAGGATCCCCGCGGTGTCAGCGAAGGCGGTGGAGGTGAAGGAAGGGGTGATGGAGGCGCGGGCGAAGGCGGTGTCGGCGAAGGCGGTGGAGGTGAAGGAAGGGGTGATGGAGGCGCGGGCGAAGGCGGTGTCGGCGAAGGCGGTGGAGGTGAAGGAAGGGGTGATGGAGGCGCGGGCGAAGGCGGTGGTGGTAGAGGTGGTGATACGGGTAAAGGCGAGGGAGGGAGAGGTGAAGGTGGGGGGGATGAGGGTGCGGGAGAAGGAGGCACAAGCGAGGGTGGGATGGGTGACGGAGGAGATGGTGAAGGTGGGGTTGGCGAAGGTGGCACGGAGGTTGGGGCAGGAGGCGGCGGCGAAGCGGAAGGGGGTGGCGGGAATGGTGACGGTGAAGGTGGGGGGAAAGACGGGGGCGACGGCGGAAAAGGTGGAGGTAAGGGGGGCAGTGCAGGCGGAGGCGATGGAGGCGATGGAGGCGATGGAGGGAAGGGAGTTGGCGGTGGAGAGGGGAAAGGAGGGGGGGATGGTGGAGACGATGTAGGTGGCGACGGCGGGGTTGGCGGTTGGGGGCCCGGGCTTGGTGAAGGCGGGGAAGGCGGAGGCTGGGGTGAAGGGGGTTGCGGCGACAGGGGCGGCAATGGAGATGGAAAGGGAGAGGGAGGGTCTGGGGGGGGCGGGGACGTGGCGGGCGTTGTCGTGGAGGAAGCTGGGTTGGGAGGAGATGGTGGCATGGGGGGACGCGGCGGACGGGGGGGGGGAGGTGGAGAGGCTGGGGGCCGAGGAGACGGCGGTGGCAGCCTGGGGGGCGGGGTTGGGGGAGTTGGGGGAGCTGGGGGAGGCGAGGGCTTGGGCCTTGGAGGCGAGGGTGGAGACGGCGGCAGGGGGCGCGGAGACGGAGACGGCGGCGTTGGTGGTCGAGGGGGCGGTGAGGGAGAGGGCGGGGACGGCGGCTTTGGAGGCGGTGATGGCGGCGGCGGGCAGGGGCAGTAGTGCAGTCCTAGCCTTGCCAGCGGCCACAGCTGGTCGGATCCATCCCGGTTGCATCCGCCCCAGTCCCAGGCCACGTAGTAGTCCCCGCCCGAGGGAAGGTGGATGCGGACCGCCAAGATGAAGGCGAAGTCGGAGCAGGGGCTGAGGCCCAGGGCGAGGAGGTCGGATGCGGAGATGGGGATGCTGAATTTGGCAGTGGGTGCGTCGAGAACAGCACGAGGACTGAACATCGCGTTGTACGGACTCCCGAGACAGTACTCCTGCCCTATCGTGTAATCCGTAACCCATACGGCTTGTTCGTACGTGGCGTTGTTGTACAGCTGCCAGTACACTTCCGTACCGGCAGGCAAGTCCAGGAATAAGTCCAGTGTGGCGATTCCAGGCGCATTGGGCTTCACAGAGAGACGAGCGGCGGAGCTGGCGTTGAGGTAATCCGTCGAGCTGAAATCGAAGTTGTTAATGGCGCCCTGTACGTCAAGCAGTACATCGGAGGTGATGCCCTTCACCGGAACACCGTTGCTAAGGAACGTGAAGCCCGAGCCGCAGGACAGCGGCGGCAGCGGCGGCTGAGGTGGGCGCGGCGGCAGGGGTGGCTGCGGCGGCGGGGATGGAGGCGGTGGCGGGGATGGCGGAGCTAATGGCGCTGGCGACGGAGGCGGCGGTGACTCACAGGGGCAGTACGACAGCGAGAACGCAGCATAACTGACGTTCCCGCCATCCACACACCCCTGCAGCGTCTGCCACGCCACGTACTGCCGGTACAGCTCCCACCGCAGATCGCTTTGAACGAGTCCGTACGATTCCACTAGGGCCATGAACACCAGCTGGGTTTCGGAGCATGTCTGCAACCCTGCGAGCCTGAGATCTGAGCTGGTCATGGTGACATTAAACGATGACGTCTGGTCGTCCAGGGTACGACTCCAGGGTAGGCTCGGCTCGGTGCAGGTGGTACTCGGTCCCGCGGATCCCAAACCCTCCGCCGATCGGTTTGTCGCAGCGAATTGCAGCGATAGCCGCATGAACTCCTCCGAGGAGAATAAGCCCCAGGAGGCCTTTGGCGGCGCGGGTGCAGCAGTCGTGCGATTGCCGGACGGAGCGGTCTGCGCGAAGGAGATGGTGAAGGTGATGTCACCGAGGTTGGGCGTGTTGGTGTAGAGCGTGGCGACGCCAGGGCTGCTTCCGCGGATCTGGAGGTCTGTTAGGTTCCCCGCGATGAACGTTGCGTCGCCCGGAAGGGAGACCTTCTCGGCTAGAGAGCAGTCCTTCATGGCTTGAGGCGGCGAGGGGGAGCCGGACGCCGGAGATTGCATAGGACCGTGGTTGGGGGCGGTGCCATCGGGGGGTGATGGGCACGGGCAGTGGTGCAGTCCTAGCCTTGCCAGCGGCCACAGCTGGTCGGATCCATCCCGGTTGCATCCGCCCCAGTCCCAGGCCACGTAGTAGTCCCCGCCCGAGGGAAGGTGGATGCGGACCGCCAAGATGAAGGCGAAGTCGGAGCAGGGGCTGAGGCCCAGGGCGAGGAGGTCGGATGCGGAGATGGGGATGCTGACACGGGATGCTGGTGCGTCCAAAACCTGACGAGCTTCGATGGAATAGTACGGATTTCCCATGCAGTACTCTTCCGCAGTCAGGTAATCCGTAACCCATACGGCTTGGTCGTACAACTCCTCGTTGTACAGCTGCCAGTACACTTCCGTACCGGCGGGCAGATCCAGAAATAAGTCCAAACTGGCGACTCCAGGGGCATCTGCTTTGAACGACAGCTGAGCGGCGGAGCTGATCATGACATCATCACGCAGGAAGGGGTCTGACATTTGTACGGCTTCATTCCTGTCGTACAGTACTGTGCCTGTAATGTTTGAGACCGGGATGCCGTTGCGCAGGAGATTGTAGGTGCCGCATGGCGATGGCGGAAGGGGTGGCGGCGGCGATGGTGGAGATGGGGGGCGAGGCGGAGGAGAGCACGGACAGTAGGTCAGCGAGAAGGGCGCGAAGCTCAATTTGGGCCCGGAGCAGTCGGATATTTCTTTCCAGCTGGTGTACTGTTTGTAGATAAGCCAGGCGGGCTCACCGTCCGCATCCCGTACAAGGCCGTACGACTCCACAACGGCCACAAAGACAAACTTAGACTCGACACAAGACTTCAGGCCGATCTTCCGAAGTTGATCTCTTCCGTACGTGACGTTGAAGGTGGATGACCCGAGGGACAAAGGCTGGCTCGAAGACAAGGTAGGCTCGTTGCAAGACCAAGAGCTATTACTCGCGCCGCCTGCGGTCCTCACATACGATTTTTGCATGTACTGCTCCTCTGTGAACAGTCCCCAATAAGCTTGTGGGAGCGCAGGTGGAGAGGCTCGTTGACCTGGATCGTGGGTTTGCGCGAAGTTGACCTTGACTGTGATGTCGCCGCTGCCGGGGCTATTGACATAAATTGTGGCTAATCCCGGGCTTCCGGAAAATCCGATGTCGGTCAAGGGGCCAGAAGTGGATGGCTGCTTGCTGGGCAAAAGTACGCGTTCCGCTGCTGCGCAGTCCGGAACGACGGAGGTTGTCACAGACGCGACGCAGTCAGCCAGTAATGCCAAAATTATAATCCATAGCGCTGCCCTATTCATGAGTGGAGGCGATGATGGCAGGCTCTTTGCAACGGGCGCGTCCGACCTGCGCGTTGCATGGAAGTTGGAGAGTGCTTGCTAGCAAAAAGGCGTAATCCGTAAATTAATGCGACTTTTGCAATACGCTTCTTAATCTGGGCAATAAAGCCATTTGATGCGCACCCTGCTGCCGGCCTTCCCTCGCCAACGACTGCCATGGTAGCCATCGGGAGAGTTATCCTCCTTGCCATACCGAGAATGTTTCGGAAAATAAGCTTTATAAGCAATCAGGTATTATTATAGCTTATAGCTGAGGCATGGCCACCATTCTGCCCTGGTAAGAGCGACCTGTAACTTGTCCACGAACCAGGTAAGATCATAAATAAATATACAATGCTATACACAAATACAAATTGAGAGGATTGGCAGTAATTATAGATTGCTAGGTAAGCGTGCAATCAAACAGCAACATGCAACACTAGTACGACGCCTGTTAGCGGAAAGTGTTGCAGGGAGCCGACAATGTAATAAAGAGGATATAGTTGAATTATATTGTTTGAGATGATTAGTAGTATTATGCCTTGAAAGCCTGGATGCTTCGTTGAACGATTAGCCTGACGAGGTTTTCATTTAAGCAGGATAGATTTTGCACATATTCGACACGTACCTCACGCTTATATTTCTTAAGTAATATTTTTATTGTATTTGCAATCGGACGTGCTACCGCCAGCGGTAGGTTTGCAACTCAGATGGTGGCGGCCATTGCAGTGTATCCAGTTTGTCAGGACTCAAAACTATGTGAGAATACTTGCCTATCAATCATATAACTCTTATCGGGGATGTGTTTGTCTTCCAGTCGGACGCCTATCCGGTGCCATCGCGCGCATTCCGGGTGGCGGGCATCAGCGAGCGAACGACCGTAACGTCATAATATGTTGCCACGTCGAGGTATTGATCTTGCCTCCATGCTTTGCTAGAAGATCCTCAACGAGCTGATTTGGTCATGAGTTGGCCCTCGGCCAGACCAACGCAATGGTCAGAGCATCCACACAGCGACGGATGTCCGCCCAGATCGCCCAGACGGGCTAAGCAACCATCGCAGGCCGACCACACACCCTTTTCGACGCTTGCCAAGCAGCTTCTCGTACACTTGCATCGTGCGTACTCCAATTTGTCTTTCATGCACTGTTGCCCTCCGCCGCTCTGCATGCACTTGGCAGTGCTTGGCTTCAGGCCGTGACGCCTTGCAACGGGCGTAAATGCAAAGGTCCAGAGTATGCTGCAAACCACTTTTTCAGATTCTTAATATAATAATGCCTTGCCGTGGCTTCGCACTTCCTGCAATGCTCTGCAGCTGCTCCGCTTCCACATCTTTCTTGCCCCCTTCTTCCTCTTCCGTCAGCTTTGACTCAGCCCGAGGCTGGCGATGCAAATTGAATGAATGCTTAGTGCTCGAAGCCCGCATTACATTCCTGCTTGCGAACTTATGCGCATCCTACTGACTTACTCTACTGGTCGTAAGCGTTTTCCGTGCGTGCTTCGCCCGCCTTCCGGGCAGTTGGCGCATCTCGGTTGTTAAAAATAAACAACGGCGCTAGATTAGAACTGATGGCAATCGATAAAGCTACCGACTACATCATAAGACTAACATTTGGAAGAAGCTTTCAGTTGTCAAACTTCTCTGCTCCCATCTACATCCGCGGTGGACTTACTACAAGGCTACAATGACCTCCATTCCTGCAAGCACGATACCTATCTCCGCACAGTGGCCAGGGGGAGTCATACATAGAAAGTACAGCTTCTCATTGTTTTTGGGATTGAATGGTTTGTTTGTCTTTTACAAGCTTCTTTTGAGCTCGTAACGCCCGGACGAGTCAGGAAGCTCATAGGCCAGCAAAAAGAAGAACGAGGAAGACAGAAAGAAATATGGATAGCAGACTCAACTATCTGCCGGCGGCCCACGTCGTACGCCCATTGCGGAAACCGCCTGCTCTCACAGCACACAGCGACACTCGCGACACTCTAAGTTGCATTATGCGGACCATTGCTAAAAATCTTCATTTGGGCACGGCGGACCTTGAATTTATTGCTAACCTCTGTACTGGTATTTGTATAAAAGTGTGTTGTCTCCAGTTTGCCTCCTTTTGACGAATGAGAGCGACCATAGCAGTGGCTCAGGCTTTGTATACCGGAAAAAACTAATGTCATTAGCTGTGTTCGGCGTTAGTGCAAACGTACACGCCCGGCCGATCGAAAGAGCTTGCGTTTGATAGCTTCTTGCAACATACAAGCACTGCTTATGTCCCAAACAATTCATTTCATTTTGAGTTGCTCTTTTGCTGACAAACAGTAGCCGCCTAACGCTCGAGTTGATGCCTTCATACTAGAGTACCGGCCAGCGAAGACTTTCAAAAAGGCAATGCTTTACTACCTGTCATGTCGCGCGCTTTGCATCCTACAGCATATGCAAGGAACAGTACAGCAAGTGGCCACACATGCACGATAAGCGATTTCACACACGCCCTTGGCACCCTGAGGACATGGCCGCTGCAGCACCACAGCCCTCCCATGTAGAAGAAGTTATTGTTGATGGACAGACTACGATAGGGCCTCCTCGGGCATGGCCCTCGCCCACTGCGAACGATGTCAGGGCGCGCGCCCGGCAGCTTGCACACGAGGTGTTCGCACGGGGGTTGGCGTCTGCTGTCCCGCATGCTCAGCAACCCGGAACAGCGCCTCAGCCTCGACCCCATCAGGTGCGACCACCCGAGCGAACCACATGCCCGTCCGGGCACCAGCTGCCCCCCCGGGGCCCCGCGTCCGTCTCCCCCGGGGCCCCATCCATGCAGCTCCTTCGCGCGTCTCCCGGCGCAGGGTGGGGTCCACAGCACAGCACAGCATAACCGATGGACCCCGCAGCATCTAAATCCCCTGGTCGGGGAAGCGACTGGACACTGAGGACTGCTGAAGCGGATGCGGGGGAGGGGGAGAGAAAAAGAGCGAAGAACTGCAATAATACCTCGGCACGGCGCCTCTTCCCTCAGGCGGCTCCAGCCTGCGCTGACCGCATCAGAGACCGACATGGCCTCCTCCTCCGCAGCAGCAGCAGCAGCAGCAGCAGCAGCAGCAGCAGCAGCAGCACCCCCCGGCATCTCGCCAACATGCTCACGTGACTCGTGTATTCGGTTGACCTGCAGGTTTCGGAGGCGGACCGAAATCCTGTATAGTTCTTGAATGTGTGTTGCATCCGCCGGCGTGTACGGAGGCTCCGTACAACAACATACTGGCCAGCCCGGGCACAGGGGGCCCCGGAACGCGCCCCACCACTACTAACACTCGCACCAGCAGGGTCTGCCACAGTTAGCAGGGCCATACACAACGTATATCGGTATATACCCCCAATCTGCCCGGCAGAGTTTCCAGCGGGCTAGCGGGCTGCCGTACATTTGTACCATCCGAACCTATTATTTTTCAATATTCCTGTACGGCCCTGTACGACCCCGCTTTTCAGTTGGACGCGGTGTCCAGTCTCCTGGAGGCGGTTTACTGGGACGGCAGTGCACCTTGCCCTGTTAACTACCTGATGCAGGTCGGTTGGCGGTTAGGCGGTTGGGTTAGTTGACCGATTTTTGTTTGGGGGATGGGGCCTAGCGCAGAGGGTTGGCCCGACACCTTTTCCGTGAGCGACAGACTGAGCGACAGACTGACGCGGGAAGACGGTTTTCGCACGCTCCCGTTTGCACGGGGTTGGGGGGAAAGGGGAGAGAAGGGTGAGGGGAGAAAGAGAATACCGGCCTTTGCGAGGCATTCTCGCACATGACGATTGGCGGACGAACGGATACACCCTCCCCTCCCCCTTAGATTTATCCCGTGCGTGAGTCTCCCCCCCCTCTCCCTCTCCCTCTCCCTCTCCATC